AAGAGTGTCAAATGGATTGTGCGCAATGGGAAGGATATCTCTTTCTGGAATGATTGGTGGTATGGAAAACATCCTCTATCTCAGGTAAATAATACCTTTCCTGTAAATGATTCTGATAAGGTTAGCTTAATTCCTGATGAAGAAGGTAATTGGGACATAGATAAAATGCTCACTTTGGTTAACCTACAAGATCTTCATGAAATTCTCAAAATCTATAGGCCCATATTTGTAACTTAGACTGATACTCCTGCCTAGGTTGGTTCTCTGTGTAGTAACCTCAATACTGCCTCTGCTTATAATCTCATTACTAATTCTAATATGGATGGTAGGGATTAGAAGTGGATTTGGAAAGTTAAAATCTCCCCAAAATTGCAATGCTTCCTTTGGCTTATATTAAAAGGAAAACTACTAACCAACTGTAGACACTTCATTTTTGATCGCCCATAAGACTTGGGCGCCTCATAGTGAACATTCAATAATGAATTGTTACGCTGTCCAAATCATTCAATTTCTTCAGCAAAAGCCTTCGATTTTCAAGCTTTAGAGCCAAAACCTTGCACCTCCTTCAGACCAAAACCTATTTTTTTCTAGCCTGACCACTTAGAGGCCTGCTGGCCAAAAAGTGGCTAGCAGGCCAATTTTTATTAGATAGTCATCCCTCTTCATGGCCGGCCAGCCATGTTTAGCAGCCAGCAGATATTTTGCTGCCAGTTGCCCCTCCATGTGCATGACTTGCACCAGCTGGCTCAATACAGATATTTCCAATAGAGTAACCTATTTTTCTATAAATAGATGACCACCACTTATGGTTTGAGGTTAGAAAATTTTGCCAAGAGCCAAAAACTTGTCAAACACTCTCTATCTCTATCTTGTAATATACGTACACTATACATACACTTTCTAAACCAAAATTTTGAGGCTTCTTGCTGAGATTATTGAGCCAAAATTTTAGCTCTTGAGGGTGATCACTTTGTGGTTTGTGAACATCCTCTCTTCAAGAGGTATAACTTTTTCCATCTTCTCTCTTATTTGTACTACTCTTTTCTCCCCTTTTTCACACTGTTTTGGACTTTTTTTGTGAGCTGAAACTTGTGATTTAAAAGTTACCAAAGGTGGAGGGGTTAGCTACCCTTTCTTGAACCTTATTCCATAGCTTATATCCTTGTATTTCCCATTTGTTTCTTTACTTTTAACTACTGATTTTTAGAGTTTTCAAAGGCTAAAACATGTAATTTTAAGGTTCAAAAAGTGGAGGGGTTGGCCACCATTCCTTAGGCTTGTTTACCAGCTTTATTTTTATTTTATTTTTTTTAATTTTCATAGCTTTTCAACATGATTCCAGCATTGTTTTTGCTATTTTGGGGTTGTTGTAATTGTTTATTTAATTTATGCCTTGAATGCTATGCTTGCGGTGTTGTAAAGTCCTCATGGATTTGGGAGTTTAGGCCTTAGACACCAATCCATTTGAGTTGATAGCTTTTCATTCTTTTTTTTTTCTTTATATATATATATATATATAAGTACTCATACTTATGATCATCACCTTTGCATAATCATTTCTGCAACCTCCCTCCTTTCTTTTTTCCTTTGATTAAGAGTTGTGTCCAACACTAAATTGTTGGTCAATGCTTGAGAAAGACACTTTTCATGCTTAATGGTTTAATCTCTTCAGAGATTCATTACCAAGGCATTACATCTCTCTCATGCTAAGCACAACTTCTTGCTGGACACTTCTCTTTATCATTTTTTGCATTTAGTGGATGTAGTTATCACTTTTGGACAAAAAATGAATAAATAACTCGTGATCTTGAAGCAACACGTTAGAAGCAGAAAGAGGGTTTCTTAGAGTTCGTAACTAGATGGAAGGCCAAGGCATCCATGTTGACCATTCGACCCTTAGAAAAAGACCAAATCATAATGGTTGTCTGGAACCTTCATGGCTAGCTGCTGTAGAAAATGATCGTTCTACCCTTATTTACCTTCAAGGAACGTCATGAAATGGGGGTTCAGATCGAAAATGCAATGAAGCAGGGGATTATCATTGATGACAAGGAGCCGGCCAAGAGGCCTTTTGTTCCTAGTTCCAATGTGGTTGGGGGTAACACAACTGTGAGGCCGTCAGAAGTGAGTGTTGTCACCACAACCAGAACTATCGATCCCTTTGCCAACATGGGCCCACAAACTTCTAACGCTACTCGACCTCCAGCTAGAACTTTTAACCAGCTCTACATGACTCTATCTTGAGCCATGCAAGTGCTAATTCAAAAGGGGCATCTGAAACCCCTAAAACCTAGACCACTTCTAGACCCTCTGCTACCAAAGCACGATCCCACCAAATATTGTGCTTTTCATCAACAGCACAGCCATGAAATGGACCGGTGCTTCCACCTACGTCATGAGATTCAAGATCTTATCGACAACAAAGTCATAGCTCCACCCTAAAAGCCAAATGTGACCACCAACCCACTTCTTGTTCACAACCAAGTCCCCCTACCCAAAAATATCCACCCCATCCATACACTACCACCCACCTTTAACCCGAGCATCTATATCACCCCCTCCCACCTACCAAAGCCAGTATTGTTCATTCCTAATAGCATAGACTTGTGCATGATGAACACATCCAACCCACAACTTGAGCCTCACAAATCTATAGTGACAACATCTGAGGAAGAGGAAGCTTTGACCTCAAAGAGAGGTGCTGGTCTGTTGGGAATTCCTGAGGAATCATATGACCCAAGCCACTACATTGTTCCCATTACTCATACCCAGCCTGATGTAGTGTTGCCAACCTCAGTGGACATTAATGTGGTTAGGGAAAACGACCCAAGCCAAGGGTTGGATGATCTTGCAGATCTTGAAGAAGACTTGGACAACTTATAATTCTTCAAGGAACAAGACCAAAGCGATGTACAGATCAGTTAGTTTGATTTGAGCTTGTCGACTGACAACGGGGGGTGGTTAAGTGATGAATCAGACAAAGAAAAGGAAACCAGTGTTAAATTAGAAAAAAAAAAAGAGAAAGAAAGCAAGTTGGGACAGCTATGGTAGTTAAGAATACACTATACATACACTTTCTAACTAGAGAGCAGTAGTACAGAAAAACAAACCTAAGAGTTGGGTGTTGTTGGAATTACATATGCTAAGCTGGTAGCTGTGCTAAGTCAGTTTAAACAAGATAAGATCGTAGATAACCGGAAGGCCGCAACATCTGGTCGCCCTGAGGGAGATAATTGTATCGTAAGAATGATCCAAGTTGACTAGACAACTGCTTGTCGGCGGCTGACGGTGAGTGGTGGGAAGATACCGCCTTGCATCTTGTCCATACAGATGAAAACTGGAGAGATCATATCCTAGACAGTACTTGTTATGCAGAAGAAATAGACATCCTCACCCGAAGTGGATGGTATTTCAAACCTCCACATTTGGATTAAGCCAAGGCCTCAAGAAAAGACGGGAGGTTGAAAAGGAAAAGGAGAAGAAGCAGGAGGAGGAACTGGTCCTGAAGTAACTCAAAAAGATCCAAGTTGACATATCTATTTAGGGCCTTCGTATGTCCTCGCGAGTGCACCAACAAGTAGTATTGTCGGTAATGGATAAGGCTAAATTGTCCATTGATACGTTGCCAGAGAAGCTTGTTGGCCTGCTTTTCCCAAGTAGCACCAAGCCTATGCTCACCTTCTCCGATAAAGAGTTGTCGCCAGAAGGATCGGCTTACAACAAACCACTGTACATATCTGTTGAGTGTAGAGGAAAGTGGGTGCCAGTGGTTTTAATGGATACCAGGTGATCTGGGCATATAACAACACGAGCAGAGAAGTTATGGGGACGGTAAAAGTCCAAGTCCAAGTGGGCCCTTCTGAGCATGAGATTGAGTTTCATGAACTTGATGTGCCAGCTACCTTTAACCTACTTCCAGGAAGGCCCTGGTTGCATTACATGAAGGTTGTGTCCTCCACCCTCCATGAAATGCTGAAATACGGAGTAGCCACTGTTTTTGAGAATTCATCCATTCATCCACTGCCAGAGGTAACTACACCTTTCCTAGAAATCAATCACGGTGATAAGGATGTATTTTTTTCGAGATTCACTCTAGCGGAAGCCCAAGTTGAGGACGAAGGTATGTATGTCAGTGCTCAGTCCATTTACTTCTTGAACAAGTTGCGGCATATTCTAGGAATGGGGCTCGGAAGGAGCGCGCGGAAAGGTATTGCGATGCTAGCTGAGGTGCCATACAATCCACATGCCTTTGGGTTGGGCTATGTGCCCACCAAATAAGACTAGAGAAGGAAGAGAGAAGAAATAAGAGAAAGGGCCAAGGCCAAATGAGCAAAGAAGCATTATAAGTTGGTTCATAGGCCAATTTGGGGAACGTTGAATGGGTGCTTTGTCAGAGAATGAGAGGATTTCCTCTTCTGCAACTTTCCTAAGCCTTGGGTGGATTCCTCAACGAAAAAGTGTTTCCCCGGATTCGAAATCTTCTTTGACCACCAGCTCTAAGATAGTGATGAAGAAGGGGCTGATCCAAGCGTCAACGTTGGCCAAAGCAAAGATGACGATTCAAACAATAGTGAGGCTGATGTGGGAGCAGCACTAGCTAATCTCTTGACAGATCCTGTGACCAATACGGAGAACTTGGGGGATACCTTTACTGTCTCTATAATCAAACAAGAACCGATTGTGGATCCCACCAGTTGCATTTTGGACACGTCGAGGGCGCCACGCCTCACTTGGTAGTTGGAAAAGGGCTTTATTTCCAGTTGTGAATCAGATGATGAGCCAGAATCTGCTTCTATTGAGTTTGTTGAGTCGGAATCAGATTCAAGCCTGTCCAAGGAGTCTGAGTCTGGCACTTCTGAGAGTGGTTACCCGGGTGCCAAGGTCCTGTCCAGGTACTCTTTTGTATTTTCCTTTGAGTCAATTGTAACCGAAGAGCTAGAACTTCTGAATGAGAATGCTGCAAATTCTCTTTATTTCTCTGTGCCGTTAATGTATTGCATTGACTAAGATTTTCAAAATTTTAATGAAAACGAAGAGGGAGAAATTCTTCAGCCTTTGAAAAACTTGATTGACCAAGAAAAGGAGAGGCGTGCTAAGCCTTGCATTGATGAAATCATTGCAATTAATGTGGGTACTGAGAAGGATCCACCCTTAGTCCAGATTGGGTCCACATTGTCTTTGGAGGAGCACGAGCTTTTAATCGCTTCATTAAAAGATTTCAAAGATGTTTTTGCGTGGTCCTACAAAGACATACCTGGAATCGATCCTGAGATTGTACAGCACCGGATACCTCTTGACCCCGAGGCCTGACCTATCAAGAAGAAACTCCACAAAGTCCGTCCAGATTGGGGATTGAAGATTAAAGAAGAGGTCACCAAGCAGTTTGATGCTGGCTTTTGTTAGTGTCTGGATATCCGACTTGGTTACCCAATATTGTTCCAGTTTCAAAAAAAAATGGCAGAATCAGAGTCTGCATGGACTTCCAGGATCTAAATAGAGCTAGTCCGAAAGAAGACTTTTCACTGTCGCACATTGATGAATTGGTAGATTTCACTACTAGCCATACGTTGTTATCGTTCATGGATGGGTTTTCCGGGTATAATCAGATTCTGATAGCGCTTCAGGACAGAGAGAAGATTGCATTCACCACACCGTGTGGTATCTACTGCTACAGAGTTATGCCTTTTAGGTTAAAGAATGTCGGGGCTACATATTAGAGAGTTGCAATCATAATCTTGTACGACATGATCCATAAGAAAGTCGAGGTGTACGTGGACGATATGATTGTAAAATCAAAAGAACGAGAAGGCCACTAAATCGTGCTGGAAAAATTCTTTGAATGGATCAGGGAGTACAGATTGAAGTGGAATCCACAAAAATGCACTTTTGGGGTGACTACAGGGAAAATATTGGGATTTCTGATTGTGCAGAGGGGAATTGAAGTAGATCCATCTAAGATCAAGGCCATCTTAGAAATGCCACCACCAAGGACTGAAAAGGAGGTACGTGGATTTCTAGGCAAAGTGCAATTCATAAGACGGTTTATCTTAAAATTGACCTTGACTTGTGAACCACTATTTGGTCTCTTGAAAAAGGGAATGAAGTTTTGATGGGATAATCGATGTTCGCTTTCGAACTGGTCAAGCAGTACCTTCAGAATCCACCTGTATTGTCGTCGCCAAAATTAGGGGAAGCCGCTGATCATGTATTTGTCGGTAACAGATTCAACCATGGGGTGCATGCTAGCTCAAGAACCAGAAACTAGAGTGGAGAAGGCCATCTACTATCTGAGCAAGAAGATGCTGGAATACGAGACCCGTTACACTCCTCTGGAGAAAACTTGCTTAGCTCTAGTTTGGGCAAGTAGGAAGTTGAGACACTACTTGTTAGCTCACTCTGTAATTCTGGTTTCAAGATTAGATCCCATCAAATATCTCATTGAGAAACCGGCACTTACAGGTAGGCTAGCTCATTGGTTGCTTATTGTCTCCGAGTTTGACCTCAAGTACATCACTCGCAAGTCCGTCAAAGGAAGAGCAATATCGGAATTTTTGGCAGGCCACCCCATAGAAGAAGATGAAGTAGCAGAATACCTATTCCCGAAAGAGAAAATTCTATAGGTAAAAGTGCAGACATGGCCAGTGTACTTTGACGAAGCAGCTAATCAATACGGTTATAGGATCGGCATGTTGCTGATAGCAACTGATGATTCTCATATACCCCTAGCCTTCAAACTCCAGTTCAAGGTGTCCAACAATGAAGCAGAATACGAGGCGTGTATTGTTGGATTAGAAACTGCCGTAGAACCCAATAAGGTTGGACATCATCGAAGACTCAAACTCGATTGTTTCTCAAGCCAATGGATACTGAAAGGTCAAGGAAGAGAAAATGAAGGTTTATCATCAGACCCTGGATATTCTGATTCCATGTTTTGAAAAACTAACATTTACGCATCTGCTGAGAGAGAACAACCGGTTTGCTGATGCCCTGGCAACTCTATCCTCCATAGTAAACATATTGCTCGGGGTTAAGATGCATTCAATTATCATTGAACAGAAGTATGAGCCTGCTTATGAGATGATAGCCACAATAGATGAGGTTCAAGACAAGAACCCCTGATATTACGACATTTGAAACTTTCTAGAGAAGGATGTGTATCCACCAAGTGCAAATGCCAAAGATAAGCAGGGAATACGACTTCTGGCCATCTAGTTTATCATCTGAGGAAATAAGTTGTACAAGAGAGGCCATCTAGGAATGAACAAGCTCTACAACATGACTTCGCCATGTTCTTTCTCAGTCTGGGAAATTGGCGTCATTGGACCAGCCTCGTCAAAGGGTTCAAATATACATGAGTTCATTTTGGTAACGATCAACTATTTTACCAAGTGGGTAGAAGCGCAGTCTTACTCAGTGTTGAAAGCATCATATGTGGCCAAGTTCATCAAAAACAACATCATCTGCAGGTATGGGGTACCAAATGAAATCATCTCGGACAATGGCTCACACTTCAAGAAATACAACGTGGCTGTTCACAAGTCATCAACATATTGGCCACAAACTAACAGTGTTGTTGAAGCCATGAACAAGAATGTCAAGAACATCCTGCGAAAGATGGTGGAAACGTACAAGGACTGGCCGGATAAATTTCCTTTTTCACTCTGAGATATAGAACATCAATTCAAACATCTATAGAGGCAAACCCCTATTCTCTAGTATATGGGATGGAAACTGTTTTGCCGATTGAGATCGAAGTACCATTGCCGAGAGTCATGGCCGAGTGTCAGATAACAGAGGTTGATTGGCAACAGAACAGGTTCAAATAATTAATGTTGTTTCACAAAAGGAGGTTGAAGGCCTTGTACGTTATCCAATGATATCAGCATAGAATTGCCAGGGCCTTCAACAAGAAAGTCAAATCCATAAACCTCAAAGAATGAGATATGGTGCTTAAAGACATTCAAGCTCTCATCCATGACCCTAGGGGCAAGTTCCAACCCAATTGAACTAGTCCTTACATCATCAAGTCTATATGGTGAGGAGAAGCGATTATCCTTATGGATTTGGATGGCTTGGAGTTCTCGCAACTGATCAACATGGACAAGTTGAAAAAATACTATCCTTGAGAGGTTTGCTAGGCGGAAAACCTGAAAAGGCGACCTAGGCAAAAGTTAGTGCATGAAAAATTGGAAATAAAGAAAATAGAGCTCACAAGGTTAAAAACCCGAAAGGGTGACTTTAGCAAAAGTAAGAGCGCAAAAGAAGAGAGTTAATACACGAGCAAATCCTAACCGAACTACGTAAGGCCTGATTCCCATCTTCGAGATACATAGGCAACTTCATCCCGAAGTTTGGCCATAACCATCTCCAACTCAACTATCCTATCCATTTGTTTGATCAATCCATCTTTTTTCGTCATCTGTTAAACTCAGTTGTGTACCGTCGTTTGGTAGAAAGGCCAGTTGTAAGACAGAGCAATGATGATGAATGCAGTTGTGGGCAGCTATAATCTTTTGATTTAGGGCTGTACATCTTAAGGATTGGTTCCATGTGTGTCAAATAGTGACCGTTTCTGAAAGTTATTTTGAAAAGTTTTAATGAATTGATTTTCTCAAAATTTTACATTTTTCAACACAAATGATTATTTGGACCAAAAAGGAAAATTTTCAGTGCTCACAACTTTAATTATATGATTTCAACACAAGTACATTCTCCAACTCTCCTGTTAAATCAAAGTTGTTTTTTATATCATAAAAACTTGAAAAGAAAAGGTCAAAAAAATAAACTAGGGGCACAGATGAGTCAAGTGATCGTTCTCTGCCTCTTACCTGCATTATCGGAAGTCTCTGCAGCTAAGGATGGCCCAACCCGTGCCTCATCTTCGAGCCAAGCCAAACACTTGCTAGAAAGGGCATAACTGAAGCTAGCGGTAGGGACCAGAAACTCTCTCATCCTCCAAGCAACGAGGCATCGAGGCAGGTGCAAAGCATGAACTGGAAATGGAGCAGAGTATTTCACTCTCTCATCTGGGTAGGTCTGATCACATCCAAACTGGTGTTTGAATCGAAACGGAAAGTAGAACACACAGTGCTTAAGGCCAATCAACTGTATACCCGGCTAGCGAGACATGTTGTAGCTCATCTCAGTCAAGTTTAACCAGGGGCAACGCCAAACAATGTCTGCTGCAGATCTACTACACTTCCAATCACACCACAGTCCCTCTAGAGGAAAGGCCATTAGCTGTAGGTGAAAGAAGTAGGATCTAGCCGAATACTCAGGGCAAGGGTCCACCACCTTCAACTTATCCATCAACCACAATTGGGAAGGGATGAAAAATAAGAGAGATTAAATAATAGAGAGATGTATGTTGAGAGGAAAAAGTAAAGAAAGGGCTTTTAAAAAAAAATTGAGGGTGAGTGTCAAGTGATGTGACCACTCATAAATAAGAGAGAGTGGGAAACAATAACTGAAGAAGTATTGGACTCCCCTCAAAATGAGTAGTCTCTCATCGATAGAAGGCATCCAAACCCATCAAAGTCTCGGCCAATGCCAAACTTATGCAGCTCTTACCCTTCTTGAGGCATTGGGCCACTTCGATCGACCTAATGCTAGCTACATTGCAACTAGGGGCAAGTAGGAAGTGTGCAAGTAAACATAAGCAGAGGGAATATTGACGATAACCTTGCCAGAGACGGTCACCTCTGTCTCCAATGTCGAAAAACCTATGAATCAAGCCAGGTATAGCTAACTCCTCGTCGTGAGCCAAGGACCGAGCCTCGTGTAAAGTAAGCCCACACATCTATTCAAGAGCCCATGCTTGGCCAAAACGAGGTTGAGGCATAATCTCCTCATCTAGCCGGGACTCGATTAATGCTTGAAACTTTTCGAGAGTAGGACACATTTCTTGTGCTCCGAAGCAAAACACATGAGTAATCAGGTTCCAACATCGAGCAACGGCTTGAAGGAACCAAAAACAAAGTGAAATACGGCTTAACGAAAAAAGCGCGTCTATGCCGAAACCCCGAAAATTTACCTTTTTCGTGCCGTCTAATTCTTGAGCCTCTCAGCAAAAAATATCTCCATATTCAAAGGAAACTACAGACAAGATAGTGTTCTGTCGAATAAATGAGCAAGAAAGGCCTTTATAGAGGATAAGGTTGTATGAGTGGTTGATAGTTGTTGCCAGCTGTGCAGCCACAGCCTTTGGCTGGCCGGCCACTTTTTCCAGCCAGCCATCTATTTTAATAGCTGGCTAACCAAAACAGCTAGCCAGACAGCTGAGCAACAGTGTTGTGTTTGGCTCATTTTGTTTTTGAGTCTTTTGTTTCTAGCAAGTGTAAATAGCTGTGTTTAGGTTATTTTTACTTTGTTTTTCCTTTATTGAATTGTATTTTGCATTTTGGTCAGTTAAAGGCTCAATATTCGGTTACGAACATCATTCAAATACAAGCATTTTTAGTTTCAAATTCAGTCCCAATTTTCTACAAGTGTGGTGCCATTCTCGAGATGCAAAATAAAACTCCTTTTATAAAATTGTAGGGTTTTACCCTGATCATAGCTTCTTCTTTTTTTTATAAAAGAGAAAATACTAGTGTTTCAAAACAAAAGTAAAGTCCTATCTGAAGCTACACAAAGTTCTAAACTACCAAAGCAAAAAGAAAGGAAAAAAGAAAATAAAAATCAGAGTCAAGCTCGAGAAGCCCTTTTCGTCCTATTC